TGTGGGGTGGTCTCTGCAGCTCTCACTCACAGTCTTGCTTGGGAAGCCACTGCCCTGTCTGTCCACGTGTGTGGCCCTGTTGCTGTGCTCGTGTGGCTGCACTCGCGCCGTGTGTCCTGCCACGAGCCCTGGTGCCGCAGGGCAGACGGCTCAGGCTGCGGGTCCCCGTGGGGTCCTGACATGTGCCTCTTCTCTTGCCCCCCTCAGAGAATTCTCAAAAGAAAGGGAGAAGGCGAAGGCCCGGGGCGATTTCCAGAAACTGCGGGAGAAGCAGCAGCTGGAAGAGGACCTGAAGGGCTACTTGGATTGGATCACCCAGGCGGAAGACATTGATCCTGAGAATGAGGAGGAAGGAGGAGAGGAAAGCAAACGAAATAGTATGTAGCGCCTTCCCACTCCTGACCAGTGCGGTGCGATGCAGAGCTGCCCGGCAGCAGGCCTTCCTGCCCCCTGACCCGGCCTGAGACCCAGGGCCCCTCAGCCATCGGTTCCCTCTGCCTGCACGTCCGAGAGCACAGTGCATGTACCTGCCTCTGAATTTCTGCCGAGAGGTGGATTTTAGAGTTGTTTCTGGTCACGTGGCTTTACGGTGGCAGAGGGTCAGACAGACTCACCCATGGCCTCAGGGATTCAGTAAGCCCCTCGGAGCGGGACCAGGTGTGGGAAGAGCCCATTCACCTGCATCACAGGAGACAAGGCTGTGTTTCCTCCCCTTAGTGAGCAGTGTTACCGGAACTTGGAGAGCAGGGGCCCTCTCTCCCCCTCTCTCCCCGTCTGTTGCCTGAAGCAGCTCCCACCTGTGCCAGCCAGGGGAAGCCAAATGCTTGGCCCCATTCAGGGCTGGGAAGAAGCCAATTCTGGGCAGCGTTAGGAGGCATGTGAGCCAGTGTGGCTGCTGTGGAGCCCACCCCTCTGGGTCCCCACACGGACACCAGGCACCCTCAGTACCTCCTACCGTAATAAGGCCCAGTGCTCAGTCGACCACCGGAATTCACTGTCAATGTCCATCAAGACCATAGACATAGTCTTACCATAGACTCTTCTCCCAGGCGTGCTCTTCCTCTCCTGGGGTCACCTGTGCCTCGGGTAAAGTGCGTGCTGACATTTAGCAGTGGATTTGACTAAGATGTTTGTGATTTGTTTCCAATCTAGAATAGTTGGTAGTAAAGACCGACAACCTATTGCAGAGGTGTATGTCCATCGAGAGGCCTGGGAGACCAAGCTAGGCACTACCTCTCAGAAGACGGCCGAGGGAGCTCCAGTGAGCAGAGCCCCTCAGACGTCATGCAGCCGTTTCTTCATTCAGCAGGGCCAGTGCTGATGCCGAGAGGACTCCTGAGATGGAGAGGCTGTGTGTGCCCCTTCTGCGGAAGGCCATGCCTGCACACACACACAGGTGCAGCAAGGAGACAGACACAGGCCGGAAGGGCGGCAGGCGGTGTGCTGGGGGCTGAGAGGACAAAGGGCTGTAGGAGAGAGCTGTGGAGGCATTGGGCCTGGGCCCTGAAGGTTGGATCTGAGATATGTCACAGCTCAGGGTCAGGAAACATCCTGAGCCATGGCAATGGCATGAGGAGGACATCGAGGTGGGCAAACTAAGGCTTAAGGAGGAAGCGATGGGCTATTGGTTTGGCCGGAATCCAGAGGGTGTGCAGGTCAGGGAGACATGAAGCAGGGAGAGTGAGGCCAATCTATACTGCATCTGTAGGCAGTGGAGTGTGGGGGCTGAGGCCCATGCTGAAGGGGATTCTTTTCTTGACTGAGATGGCATTCGGTGACTTCTAGCCTGGCACTCTGAGGCTGTGATGCCATGGGGAGTGAGGGTTTCCTGCTATCATGGATGCAAATGATCGCTTGAGTCCTGTGTGCCAATGGGGGAGCCATGGAGTGCAGGCTGCTCTGCTCTCCTCCCCCTCCCTCTTCTTCCAGGTCTCACCCACTGCTCCTCAAGGAAGAGCCTGGTGTCCACCACCTAAGGATTAGGAAATTGCAGGGGGATTTCTAGTGCTGACTGTGCTTGCCAAATTTGAGATCAGAGTTTATAAGCAGAAGTTTAAGTTCCAAGCTTGGTGGTATCCTCTAGATGTTGGGTATAAGAGTGTCTGCATGTCCTTGGCACAGCACTCCCCGATGTGAGAGCCAGCCTGAGTCCCCAGGGCCTTCCCACCTGCAGCGTGGCGGGCAACTTGTGTGCAGCTTGGGGAATGCCTGCTGTGCTCTTACTAGCATTTTTGTGTAAAATGCTGAAGACACCCTTCCTTCTTCTCAGCAGAGTGCCTTTCTTTGCTCTCTTAGGCGTGTCCTGTAGGGAGCCGAGTGAGGCGGTCTTGCAGGCTGATGACCTTTTATCTCTATTGCTCCACCTCCAGAAAGAGACAGGGACCCATGTAGTGTTGGCAGCCTCAGTTGTGGTGGGATCCTTTTTATGGCCTGTGATTGGGGAGTAGGGATGTTCGTGGATTCGAGGCATTGCCTTCTGGTAGTCCTGCGGGTCCACGCTGTGTCTTAGCCCAGCATTCCCTGTGTCCTGCTGCTGCCTGATGACACAATCAGTGCCTCTTCCATTGGAGACCTTGCCGTGGAGGGAAGACGGGAAAGCGGAGCCTCAGAGTAAAGCAGTGGACAAGCTGGTGCCGTAGTCAAGGGCCAGCAGCCTGCTGTGGGAGCCAGAGGGCTCAGCGATGCAGCTAGCGGGAATGCAGGGAAGGCTCCGTGGAGGAGGTCGAGATCCTGCTGAGCTCTGAGGGATGAGCCTCCTCGCTTTTCAGACTGAGGAAAGGGCATGAACCAGGTGAGGAAGCTTACAAAAGTAAGCCCTTAAATGCATCACTTAGTAAGATAATCAAGGAAAGGAACGCCCTTCAAAAGTTGTAAATCCTCAGAGTTCACTTCCTAGCGGGGGCTCCCCGGCCCCTAAAGCTGCACTGGGTCTCAGGATCGTCAGCCTGGTGGCTCCTGCTGCCCACAGTGATGCGTGACGCTGCCTGCGGAGCCAGCTGGGCAGGCGTCTGATCCAGAATAGCACATCCTTCGCGGGGCACCCTGTTATTCGCCAGCCTCGTTTGCCAGGTGCTGTGGTCTCCCGTGGAGCGAGTCTCGCAGTTTTTCCTGAGTCATCAGAGCTCAGAGCCCTGATGATTAGGGTTGGAAATGCAGACATAAATCCCGGGCTGTGGGAACACGTTGGGGTGTAACTGACTTAAGAGAGCCCCACTCTCCTCCCGACGAGGAAGTGGGCCTCCCTGCATGTATTGCCAGCAGCTCAGACCTGGAGAAACATCACTGTGGGCTTCCCTGCGACCTCCTGTGGCTACTAGCCATTTTCCTCTTGTCCCAGCCAGAAACCACAGGGAGAGGGTTTCCACAGGCCCATGTAGACCTCTTCACCAACAAACAGAGGTTGACTTGCCACCTGCACACCAGGCAAGGTCTCTGCCATCTGGTAGCAGGCAGAGACGTGTGGGCATGGCTGGTGCCAGCGAGCCCTTTGCGTGTGTTAGATCGATGCCCACACACCTCACACACCAGCCTGTTCCTGCCCTTCTCAGGTGGGGACTGGATGGGATTCCCCAGACACTGAAGAATTAGGTGACAGTGTGAGAAGTCCTTCCTATGGCCCAGCTCAGTTGAGAGGAGCAGAGGGGAGGAGAGGAGGCCATTAACAACAGCAGGAGTCACGAGCCCACGGAGGGGGCGCTGGGCTGGAGGTCAGTCTGACGCCCCTTCCCTGGAGCTGGCTGCGGCTAAGTTTTGTGACTTGGAATTTGGACTTGAGTGTTAGGCACATTACCCAACATCTCTGAGCCCTATTTCCTTGTCTGCAAGAAGGGGGTCAAGATATTTGCCCATAGGGTTGTCATGAGGGTTAGAGGTTCGATAGCTGGTAGGAGCCACCACAGCTGTAGGTCTGTGCTGCTGCTCTTGTCATCAGACTGCAGTAGAACTTGACTGAAACAGAGTTATTTTTGCAGATGCTACTGGACCTCTGCCCAGCCTCAGGGTGAGGACCCGTTTTAGGACCAAGTCCCTACACTGTGCTATTTAGAAACTATAAGGTTCCCAAGTCGTGATGGAGAACAAACTTGACCTTTCAAGATACTTTCAAGATACTGTGGCACAGCTTTCTGGCCCTGAAGCCCATCTAGTGGGTCGATGCTTCTGTCAGAGGACAGATGTCAAGTGTTTGGACCTGTGCACATATTATCTTTTCTTTCTGATCTTCTAAATGTAATTTTCTGCATCGTGGTACCCAACTCTGGCTACGTACGTGACAACCCCCTGGGAGCTCGAATGCTTCCCGATGCCGCCCCCACCCCCTCGCTGATTAGTTGGTCAGTGATGGGACTCGATGTGACGTGGCTTTATGTACAGTCTCCTGGAGGTTGCGTGTAAAGCCAGGCTGGGAACTCCTGAGTGCCCCCCAGCCCCCCGCCCACCCCCACTGAGGAGCACACTGGTCTAGGCTAAACCTTGAAGGAAGATAAAGGAGAGGCAGACAGTCCCTCCCGGGCCGTGTGGTGGCTGCATGGCTGTGGCCCTGGCTTCCTGCGTTCACGGGCCACTTACCTAAAATGTCAGCCCCATACATTTGCTGTTAGAAAGCTGGTATCACACAATTAATTGAATGGGCAAAATTTCCTTGGAAGTTAGTTCCTGAGCATTTGGGAAATTTTCAAGGATAATTTAACTTTTTGCTGAGCTTCAAATTCCGTAAGAAACCCTGCCAAATCTCCAAGCGATTTTTTAGACGTATGCAGCTGCTTCCGAGTGAACAATGGGGTTTTTCTAGGGCCATTAAAATCTGAAAGCCTAAAATTCTATTTTAAACTCTTCTCATTGTCAGTGATTAGTCTTAAAAAATGGCATTAAAAATAATGAAATGGTTTTAAAGGAGCTCATTCTGAAGTTGGGGCCAGAAATCCGGGCCAGTTCACGGTGGGAACTATGAGTGATAGACAGTCCCCGTGAGAGGCGATACTGATGCTCAAAGACAGGGCGGGGGTGCCTGAAGCTCCACCTCTGAGCACAAGGAGAGCCTGAGTCTTCATCAGGGGCCCAGGCAGAGGCTGTGAGCACCGCCCCTGCCCGCCTCCCCTGGGACCCTGCCCCTCGGGCCTCGGGGCACAGGTGGCCATGGCCGTCGCCTCCCTTCCGCACCTGCCACCCCGATGACTTTTGTGTCTGATTTGAGGCTGGGCAGACAAGAGTGATGGGGTAGCTGTTTGCAAGCACACAGCATGGACATTTTCTGGTCCTGTTTCAAAGGGTTATGTTTCAAAATTTGATTTCTGAAATGGCTTTCATCTCAAGAAAACTACCTCAGGGCACAAGTTCCAAGCGAAAAACCTTCACTTAAAAGCTGTAACGCAAACAGCAG